AGCCCAGAGCCGTCTGAATGCACAGAAAAGTAGGCTGACCTGGAGTTACAAAGACTGTGATAACAAGAAGTGTGGAAAAGTTATTATTGTCCTGGTTTGGGGTTACTGGTTCCCAGTGTTTCCTGGCATGCCTGTCCTCCAAGTCCTACCTGCACATTTCTGGGTTCCATCATGGAGCAAAATATTCACCAAGTCTCCAAGCGATGCTCTGATGTGTGTCTCCCTGTTCCCAATCCTTCTATACTCATCATTTGCTTGTCCCTTTTCCTTCTTTCCCCGGTTTGGAGACAGTGTGGCATTTGGAAAACATTCACAGCAGATTCCCATTGCTATTCCTTCCATTGAAGGAGCCTGCCTCAGTCCTGGGTTCCATACTTGCCTTTCCCCAGGCTGGGTGGAAAGCCTAGGCTAAGGCTGTTTCTCCTTTGATACTTCCAGCCTTCATCCTTCCTGGGTAATAAATTCTTCATCTGTGTCAGCAGAGCTGGTGTAGGAAAAAGGAAGGTCCCGGGTATCCTTTCCTCTTCATTTACCCCTCCAAGGAAGCACTAGCCCTGGTGATGTCAGTGGAAGAAACATGAACTGATTCAAGTTTCTTTCTCCATCTTTCCAGCAAGTCTTGTCTGGTAAATACCAGAGGTTAGAGCAGATCCTTGATGAGAAGGTCCCATACTTGAGACCTTGGGCCCCCTGGAAAGCCTATATCTCCGTCACAGACCTGCTGTGGCTCAGCCCACCCTGGTTCCTCAGGAGAGCTCTCTTCAGCTGACCCTGGATGGTGCAGAGCACAGCCCTTCGGAAGCTGCTGGACAGGAAGAAGAAGATGACTGGGTCAAGGCAGCTGTTGAGGGCTGAGATGCAGAGCACAAGCTCATTAGCGAGGTGGAGACCCTGCTTCCAAGGCAGACTAGAAATGGCCCCAACCTGTGCAAGGATGTAAGGAATGCGGACAATGTGGTAGGGGGTGAAGCATACAATGAAGATGACCAGGACTACGAAGGTCTTGGCAATGGCTCTTGTGCTAGTTTTCTTCTTCAGCTGCTGAGCTTTCACAGAGGAGACTCTGCTGAGTTTGGCAAATATCTTGCTGTAGAAGTAGAGGAAAAGCAGCAGCAGGATGAAGAAAGTGGCTACTGCAACCATGTTAAAAGCTGCTGCTGTAGTGCTTTTGCTTCTGAAGTGGAAGCATTTATGTTTACAGGGCCCTTTTCCTTTTGTCTCAAAAAAGAAAGGCAGCATGAACACTGCATGCACCAACCAAACCACCCCAGAGACCATGGTGCTACAGGACACGGTGTGAATCCTAAATTTCTGCAGAGGCCGGATGATCTTCAGGTAGCGGTCGAGGCTGATGAGACTGAGAAATGTGATACTGACATACATGTTGAGGTAGAAGAAGGCCCCCACGATGTTGCAGAAGATCAGAGGCTCATGCTTGCTGTGAAAGGCAATGCGGAAGGGCAGGCAGAGGGAGAGCAGCAGATCAGAGAGCGCCAGGTTCCTCATGTACACGGTAATGGAGGTTGTGCGCTGCACACCACACCAGAACACCCAGAGTGCCAGGACGTTGCTGAGCAGCCCGATGATGAAGATGAGAGAGTACATCACGGGGAGCGTCACAGAGAGGAACTCATCTTGGATCTGACAGCAGGAGTTGTTGAGTCTGTGCTCTGTGAGCTGGCTGGCAGGAAAAGGGGTGCTCAGAGAGTCCATCATTAGGGCCATGGATCTGGAAAGGAAAATGGAAGAGGTGTTGGAGCAGACATCTACATGAGCTGGCTTCATAGAGGCACCATCATTTGTAGGTGTTGAAGACCCCTGTGATGCTTCTGTAGTTCCCTGGTACCCCAGGTCACTGCAAACACAACTTTGTGATCCCCCAAACTGTTATGTGGAGGCCACCACCTCACATGGCACACAGAAAACCAGCCTGGGGAATTAGGAGCGTGAGTCTGCCAGGCTCACACACCGGCTTTTTGGCACTGCCTTCTCTCCCATGCGGCTCAAGCCTGCAGGGAAACCTTCACAGAGATCTTGCCTGTTCCACACTGGTGAGAAAACAGGCCACCACAGGCTGACTGGGTGGTCAGCAGCACTCTGCTGTCCCAGGTGTGGTAACCGGCTTTTCTCCTGGCTTCACTCATGCTGTTCCTCTGCTGAGGGAAGATGTGGGACTGGAGTGGTGGACATTGACTGCTGTGTGCTAGGTAAGTGTACCATACTAAACAGCAAAATCTGAGGTTCCTCACCAGGGGAAAAACACATTTTTCATTGTACATGAGCAACCAAATGGGAATAGCAAACATGAATTCAGACCACATACAGCATGATACATATGGGTGCCTTGGTGTTGTTGAGGGATACTGCTGGGGTTTGTCAGAGCTCCCCTCTGAGGCTGGGAAACCAAACCCACACCTGGCTGTTCATTGCCATTCTGCTGCTCTCACCTCAGATATCCAGGCTTGCCTCAGAAGCAAGATCCCCTCTACAAGACTCTTTCCTCCCTCCCAGCTCTCATGCCCCTCCCTGCTGCCTCTGATCCTGGCACTTGCAAGGTGCAGGACGGTGTGACAGGGCTGCAGCTCTCAGCCAGCAGTGATGGTGCAGGGGGGTGCACTCACACCGCTGGTCCCAGTGGCTAGGCTGGAGCTCTGACTCCCTGCACTGCATGCATGTATGTGCCTGCGTGCTTTTGGTCTCAGCCTTCTTCTCATGACTTTACCCACAGCCGCTTTTCCATCCATGGTGCAAGGCTGCAGGGCCCCTCTGCCAGTGAGGGAAGACAGGGAGCAAGCCCACACTGGGGATGGAGGCACCACAGTCATGATGGCCAGCTCTGCCTGAGGACTGACCCCAGAAGCACTTCGTATGCCCTCAAGCTCCTGTTTCCCTGGAAAGAGATGTGAGGCCTGGCTCCTTCCAGCCCCTCACCCCTTACTCCCCTTCCTGCTTTCCATGATGTTGACTGACCCATCGCTGCAAAAACCTCCAACTTCCTTCCCACCTGCCACAACTTCTGTGACAGACTTCTCTGCTCCCTTCATACGTCCCCAGCACAGACTGCAGGGCAGAGCCAGCCTCGGATGTTTTGGGACAAAGGCAGCAGAGCTAGCTGGATTTGCTGCTTGCAACACACAGTGCTTTAAAAACACCATGGGCTGAGTGCCGCAAATTCACAGTTCTGTGGCTCTCCTCACCCAGTCCCAGCCCAGCTTTTCCCACCAGCTACAGCCACAGTTTGGCCTCAGTACCCCTTGCTCCCTCTTCCCCCCCAACTCTCACCCCCATGACAGAAACATGCAGTGACTCAAAGCAAGAAGAAAAGCCACCCCAGAGTCACCTACCTCTATTGGCACCTCTCCTCTGCTCCTTTCCCTGCTGTGACAGCGGTTCCTGCTCTCACTGGGGCCCCTATAAGCCCTTGACTGGTGACGACATTTCTCACTATGACAAACATCCTCCATGGTTTACCTGCTCCTCCCCATGTGGGCTTCTTAGTTTTTTCCCCTTCTGGCCCTGGAGAGGGGGTGCATTTTGCAGGGGTGTGTCCTCATGCAGGCTCTTCAACACACCCCATGCACCCACTTCACCAAGCAAGCACTGGCCATGGCACCAGCACATGTGAATGGGCCAGTCTGGAGAGAGCAGTGGCCCAGCACAGAGTGCTCCTCTCTCCAAATTGCCTCATTCACACCAGCACAGGTCAAACTGCAAGCTGAACCCTATGTGCTTCATGAAAGCACCCCATGCCACATCATCCACTGCCCTTGGGGACCGTGGGGGATGCTCAGCTGCATGGAGATAGGGCACAGCAATGTGCCACCACTCACAGCTACCCCACAGTGTCAGGGCTGTGGGAGAAGGAGGGCTGGCAGAGCGAGCTGGCAAAAGGAGGAGAGTTTTCCCAGCTCTTACCCAAGCCAAGGGGGAAGTGACTCAGCTGGAAGTCCTTGAAGCATCCACTTTCTTGGAGATCCTTGGCATGATCCTGCCCAAATTATATTCCCAGTGTTGCCTGCACCATGTAGCAGGACGCTCTGCCTCAGTGGGGGAAAAAACTCAACACTTGCCTCTCTCTCTGTGCCCTCTGGTGAAAGAAAACAACCAGAAGGTCAACACTAGAAGGTCATGATGTGCCTTGGTGTTGGAAAACATGCTGGACCAGCCGGACCCAGAGAGAAAAACAGAAGACTGATAAAAAGAAGACAGTGTTCTTACGAGATAAAAATACTTTGCTAAGATAGAAGGATTGCTGAGCAAAAAGAGATTTGGCCTAGCGACAAATGACTAACAGTCAGTCACCTTATTCTACAAAAGCTCAATCCTATTCTTGACTGGGGAGGATTCTTACACACTTTCCCCATGAGGTGAGATTGACTCTTCACCCCTTGAGCAGGGATGCCCCTCAAATTGTTACTCCTCAGAGGCTGAGTGAAAGGGAGCTACCCATGATAGTTGCGTAGGGTAAATAACATCAATCTCTATTCAGTAATTAAGCTAACTTTAAGATACTACTTTAGTTATTGTTCTAGATCTAGTAAATGCCAATTAATAAGTAGTTGCTATGGTACTTACATTATGTGGTATATATTCTGATTTATGTCCTTTAGCCCAACCGTATTATTATAATTTATAATAAAATTTTGCTTTGTCTGTACATACAGTCTAGTCTGCCACCCTTAAACCTCAGTGGGACACATCAAGTGTGGCTGGAGCAGTGTGGAGACAGACCAGAGATGCCAAGGCAGCTCCTCCAGGCATGGGAATTTCACAGAGAGGGGATAGCTCATTCCCCAGCCCTCATCCCAAACACCGAAACCACAACAGCCACGTGTGTGGAGCAGATTGTTCTGCAAACTGTTTCCACATTACTGGATTTAGCTCACAGAGCAGCGTGAGGTGCACCCACACAGATGCAAATAGCCCCGGCAGGCAGGGGAGGAATGGGCGGGTGATGGCTTCCCTGCAGGGCCAGCAGAGATGATGAGTAAGGGAGGAGGGTTTGTTTCAGCCATGGAAATCTTAAAGCATGAAGAATGGAGGTCAGAGGCTGTCAAACCCCTGATTTCTCCAACTTGTCCTGGCGTCTTGTGCTGCATCAGATTCACCTCTAGCCTTCACCTCTTGCTGAGAAATTAGGAAAGATAAACCTAAGCAGACCTGCCAGCCAGCAGGCAGATAAATAACTGTAAACTGAGAAAAGCCGGGACATTTGAAAGTGCCTTTCTACAGCATCAGCTGGCTGGTGTCAGACAGTTTCAAACATACCCATACAGATAAGCAGACCATCACACTTGCATCTCCTGGAGTGCTGCCCAGCCCTCCTGCAGCAATCCGGTTCCCGCTCACAGGGAGGACCATCTTCTATCAGAACAGTTGGTACCTCTGGGGTGGCACCAGCCTGGCTGTGCAGCCCAGTCCAGAGTAGAGGTTAGCAGAGCAAAGGGTTCTGCTGGGCCTGGGAACAGGTGTAGGGTCTCTGGCCCTGAGGACGGGTGGTTACTGCCCACGCTTGGCTTCACAGCTTCACACAGCTGCGGTGACCTGCAGCTTACAGCATGTCTTGCAGCACAGCAAGATGCTGACAACTTGTGGTGTGTGTGGCTGTTGTAAGCTGGTGTTTTGTGAGTGTTGTTTTGCCACAGCATCAGAACTCGCTTGGGGAATTTTTTTACTCATTGTGGAGAATCACAGAGGGATGACCTATGTTGTCAATCACACCTTGGTTTCACTTGCCAGCTTTACAGTACCTTTGATGAGTTAAGGGCATAGGTCAGAGTGGGTTTTTCTTATAATCTGGTTTGGTTTGAGGTTTTTTTATTATACTAATTGAACTCTGAGCATCAATGTGAAGTACCGAACTTGAACTTCAGTTTCAGGCACTGACACCCACATTGTCACAGAATCAATCACAGAATCACAGAACGTCAGGGATTGGAAGGGACCTCAAAAGCTCATCCAGTCCAATCCCCCTGCCGGAGCAGGAACACCCAGATGAGGTTACACAGGAAGGCGTCCAGGCGGGTTTTGAATGTCTGCAGAGAAGGAGACTCCACAACCTCTCTGGGCAGCCTGGTCCAGGGCTCTGTCACCCTCACTGAGAAGAAGTTTCTTCTCAAATTTAAGTGGAACCTCCTGTGTTCCAGCTTGTGCCCATTACCTCTTGTCTTATCATTGTTTGTCACCGAGAAGAGCCTGGCTCCATCCTCGTGACACTCACCCTTTAAATATTTATAAACATTAATGAGCTGTCCCCTCAGTCTCCTCTTCTGCAAACTAAAGAGACCCAGCTCCCTCAGCCGCTCCTCATAAGGGAGATGCTCCACTCCCTCCATCATCTTTGTAGCCCTACGCTGGACTCTCTCCAGCAGTTCCTGTCCTTCTTGAACTGAGGGGCCCAGAACTGGACACAATATTCCAGATGCGGTCTCACCAGGGCAGAGTAGAGGGGGAGGAGAACCTCTCTGCCCTACAACCACCCCCCTCCTGATACACCCTAGGATGCCATTGGCCTTCTTGGCCACAAGGGCACAGTGCTGGCTCATGGTCATGTCCTTTGGGGCTAAGCTTTTCCCAGTGCGCTGATGGGACGTGTCGGAAAGCATCCATGTCACAGCAACCACATTGCTGCTCTGACCATGTCTGGGACAGGCTCAAAGCTGAGTGCCATCTGCCACCAAATCTGTGCAATACCATACTCAGGAGTGGGGAGAGAGTGAAAGGGA